CTGCCGGGGGGCGGCCTGCAGCGCTGCCTGGCCTGCTCGTAAGTCCCGCGGGCTGCCTCGGGAGGAGTAGGGTCCGTGCTCTGGGCTGGGGCTGTGGGGTCCGGTCCCCCCCGGGCGCACGGGGTCTGCGGGCCTCCTGTCCCTTCCGACTCGAAGTGAATGGTCGGTGGTCAGGGAGCTAGACGTCCCCGAGAGACATCAGGTACCTGCTCACCCTCCTTTACCCGCACCCCTGTAGGAGGTACTTCATCGATTCCGCCAACCTCAAGACCCACCTCCGATCCAAAGACCACAAGAAAAGGTATGGAGGAGTAAGGCGGGGGCCGAGGATGGGTGTCTGGTTGACAGGGCGCCCATCTGGCAGCTCCCACCTCCTTTTTCCTCCCCTCCCCCAGGCTAAAGCAGCTGAGCGTGGAGCCCTACACCCAGGAAGAGGCTGAGAGGGCAGCGGGTATGGGCTCCTATGTGCCCCCCCAGCGGCTAGCAGTGCCCACCGAAGTATCCACTGAGCTCCCTGAGATGGACACGTCTACCTGACATGGCCTGCAGGTGCGGGGCAGAGCCGCTGCCCATGGACAATGGCGCAGAACTAGGCCGGGAGAGACTGGGCCATCCTTTTTTGGCCCTGAGTTTGCAAGTGGATAGCGTCTTCTGGGTGCCCTCCGCTCAAATAAAGGAACTGGATAAAGAGTGCCTGCTTCTGACTCCCTGGCCTCCAGGCCTCCCCCGAACTCCTGCCCTTAAGGATTTCTCTGCCACTCTTGTGTGCCGGAGTCAGGGTGTCTATTCCCTACTTGGTCCAGCTGTGGAACCTGCATCCTTGCCTGGAGCCACAGGCAGAGCCCAGGTACAGTTGGGGGGTGATGGGGGGGGCAGGGGAGGCGTGTATAGGGCTCTGCTTCCAATGAGGGCAGAAATGAAGTGGGACCCCAAGATTGCAGTCCCTGCTGAGTTGCCTACCGCCGAGGCCCAGGCGACAGGCTGCCCACTTCGTCATGGGGTGGTGGCTGTTGTCCCACCATCTTCCAGACAGCATAGCAGGAGCCACCCAGTCCAAGGACAGCCAGCAGTGTAGCCACAACCCCAGCCAGTGGACTCCGTGGCTCTGCCTTCAGCTCCCCGGCTACCTGCATCTGGGGAGGTACAGAGGGTCCACCTGAAGGGTCAGTTGAGACTTCTCGGAAGGGAAGGGGCTGAGGAGACACAGCTGGGTGAAGGAGAGATGGCCGCCACTGCTGCCCCAGGGAGATTCCACCCTAGTTCCTCTCGCTTCAGTGCCCATCTGGGTCCTGGCTGCTCAGGCGGCAGGGAACGTGACACCATTCCCTGGCTGTTGGGGCCCCCAACCCAGTCACAATATGGGGAGGGAGGGGTCCGTACCAGAAACCATGAGTTAGAGGTCCTTACCTGTAGCACCCGGAAGTAGCCAGGGGTCAGGCGTCGCAGTCGCATGGTGGGTGCCACTCGTCTCCCTGGCAGCCTGCGGGGTGTGAGCAGAAATGAGGACCAGTGGCACTCTTGGTATGAAGAAGTGGAAATATGAGGGCAGAAAGGTTCCTGACTTCCATAGCCATGGCCTCAGAAGATGCTCACCAGAGTCTGCCCTCCCAGATCTGTCAGGGGGTGGGGCAGCTGGACCTTTAAATCTGGTCGCTTCCCCCCCCTGCCTGCCCTGCCAGCCTTAGGAGCAGCTGTCAGGAGAGATCAGCATCAGGCCTGAGCAGCACCTCCCCCACCCACCGGGCATGCAGGCTGGGTAGGCGGGAGAGGCCTTGCCTGACAGCGTTCAGGCATCTTAGGCCTAAACCAGGTACTGGGAGGACCTCTGCAGCCCTGGTCCTGGCCCTTGCCTACCCCAGATGATTGGATGTCACCTATCAGCTCTCAGGAAAGGTGGGAAAGGGCACCTTACCCCACGTCACAACAGTGACTCATTTGGTTTGGGTTAGATCAGCCACACCTTGGGAGAGGGCACACGTCACCCCTTTCCCCAGGATGGAGTTCCTGCAAGGACTTTCCTACCCTCAGCTTGAAAATAAAAGATTTGTATATACCGATTTAAAAAGCTATTATTGCCGGAACCGGTTTGGCTCAGTGGATAGAGCGTCAGCCTGCGGACTGAAAGGTCCCAGGTTCGATTCCGGTCAAGGGCATGTACCTGGGTTGCGCGCACTTCCCCAGTGAGGGATGTGCAGGAGGCAGCTGATCGATGTTCCTCTCTCATCGATGTTTCTGACTATCTCTCTCCCTTCCTCTCTGTAAAAAAATCAATAAAATATATATTTTAAAAAAAAGCTATTATTTTTTTAGCACATTATAGACAGTAGTATTCTAAGTAGTTTGCATATATTATTTGGCATTAATTATCTCAGAAAATGAAAAAGGCTTATTTACAGAATAGTATATAGATTGATTATATACATATATAGAGAATGGAAGAACACCCAGCAAATTTAACAGTGGCCCCCACTGTGTAATGGGCTAAGGATATGTTGGGGAAAGGTTCTCCTTTTACTTAATGACCTACTGTTAGGTAATGACCTTTGAAATTTTTACAGCAAATGTGTAGAAGGAATGTTTGTTAAACTCATAAACTAACTTCAAAATAGAAGCTGCTGCCCTAGCTGGTTTGGCTCAGTCTGCGTCTGCTTCTGTCCTGAGGGTGGAAGACCACCAACCTCTCCCGTGTTTTAGCCTAATGTGCTGAAGTACATTATTATCATAGTAGGTGGCTCATAAATGTTTTCATTTGAACTTGTGGAGAATTCTTTTACTATTGGCTTTCACTGAAGAGGGAAATTTTAGCATCTTAAAATTAGCTTCAAATTCAAGGCTAACATCTCTCTCTCTCTCTCTCTCTCTCTCTCTCTATATATATATATATACACTTATTTTTTAAAAAACTGTCCTTTATTATGCCCCTAACTGTCTACTCCTGCCAGGTGCTAGGGGCACAGAGTATAGACACTATTGTGGTTATTAGGCCCGCAGTCCTTCTAGGAGAATATGTGGATACAAGTGGTGAGTTCTTGTCTGTTTCTCCCCTACAGGATTGTGAGTTCAGGGAGGGCAGAGGCTGGCTTCTCACTTCTATGTCTTTTGCTATCTCAGGGTAGGTGTTTGATAACATCAGGATGGTGGAGATGGATCTGTTTATTGGGCTTTCCCAGACTGCCATAGGGAGACTATTGTAGGAAGAAAGAGGGGAAAAAAACAAAACATTAAAGTGGGACTCAGCATGGAGGAGGGTTAGAGGGGACACATAGTGCAGGGTGTGAGAATGTGAGTTGAAGGACAAAGTCAGAGAGGTGAGGGCCATGTTGCAAATCTGAAGCCTACTGGTTCACAAATGAGGGAGCTAGACCTGCGGGGACCTCATGAGATGGGTGCAGAGGGCTGTTATTGAACCCATTTTCAGAAGCGGAAACTGACCCTTTGAAGGAAGCAATTGACTGGTCTGTACTTGTGTTTGATGCCACATATGAAGATGGGATGGGATCAGAAGAGCTGACCAAGTTCCAGAGAACTCCATTTGTATGTGAAATTATTAAATGGCCCTGACTGGTTTGGCTCAGTGGATAGAGTGTCGGCCTCTGGACTGAAGGGTCCCAGATTCGATTCTGGTCAAGGGCACATGCCCAGGTTGCAGGCTCAATCCCCAGTTGGGGGCGGGCAGGAGGCAGCCGATCAACGATTCTCTCTCGTCATTGATGTTTCTATCCCTCTTCCTTCCTCTCTGAAATCAATAAAAATATGTTTTTAAAAAATTATTAAATGATGGCAACGAACACACATAGACTACATGGACCAAATTCAGACTTAAGGTCTTGTTAACAGGCAAAATAGTAATAGGCTTTGAAGGCTGGGTTGTGGGGCACTGGTAGAGATTTCAATTAGGTGGCACAATCAAAGGGGTAGGCTCTAGGAAGGCCTCCTCATAAAATTAAAGCTCTACTTCAGTGGTTCTCAACCTTCCTAATGCCGCGACCCTTTAATACAGTTCCTCATGTGGTGACCCCCAATTTCATTGTTACAAATTGAATATAATTAAAGTATAGTGACTAATCACAAAAACAATATGTAATTATGTATGTGTTTTCCGATGGTCTTAGGCGACCCCTGTGAAAGGGTCGTTCAACCCCCAAAGGGGTCGGGACTCATAGGTTGAGATCCGCTGCTCTACTTCATGTTATAGATTTCAAAATACTTAAAGGACCCCTCACAGCACTAAGACCTAGGTGTCCCCCTTTTAGAGAAGAAGAAACAAGTTCAGAGATGGGTAGAGTTTGGGCTCAGTCACACAGCAAGTGGAACTGATTCTGATTCCAGAGTCCTGGGAGTCTCTGGCTGGCTGTGCTGGTAAAGATAACTGCAAACAGTTAGTACGTTTCAGATGTTCTAAGAGGAAGGCTCTTAACCTGGGCTTCAGAATCCAGGGATCCAAGAAACTCGGAGAGAAAATATATATATATATGTATTTTCACTAACATCAAAATTTGGCATTTCCTTCCATATGGATTAAAGTGTTAGCAGTATCTGTGGCTTTGTCACCAAGAGAAATCACATATATTTTTATATTGAATTGTAGTTATTGGAAGTATCTCAAAATATTTATGCTCATAACTACTTCAAAATCATGATAGTTACCCTCAGTTGGTTAGGCGTCATTCCATGCACACTGAAAGGTTGCCAATTTGATTCCTGGTCAGGGCACATGGCTGGATTTCAGACTCAAACCCCAATAGGGGGTATGCAGGAGGCAGCCAATCAATGTTTCATTCTCACATCGATGTTTCTCTCTCTCTAAAACATCAATAAAAATATATTTTAAATCATGATAGTTATTAACCCACCGTTAAATCACACTGTTTCAGAGACTCCTGCAACGTAGCTGCCATAGATTGGGCACCACTGAGCCACATCGCCCGGCTTCAGCCCCTTTTTGAGGAGCCTAAAGGTCAACGTCCCTCCTTGTGAAGCCAGTTTGGGGCTGGACCCCAGGCTGACGCTGAGGTCACATGGGTTACACACCAGTGCACCGCCCCGCATCGAGCCGCCCTACAGCCCTGGCACGCCTGAAGGGCGGGCAGGAGGCCGACAGGCAGTGGGCCAATGGCTGTCTCTGCGCCTCACCTGGCCAACCACGTGGGCCCAGGTATGCTGGTGGCTCCGCCCCGGGCCCAGCCCAGCCCCTCCCCACCCCTGGGCTCCGGGAGCGGAAATTCCTGCGCCCGCAGGACGGAGCGGACGCCGATCCCTTCGGGCGGGCAGACTGGACTCCACCATGGAGCCAGTGGAGACCTGGACCCCCGGGAAGGTGGCAGCCTGGCTGAGAGGTGGGTGGGGCCGGGGCAGAGTCGGGCTTGAGGGGCACTGGACCCGGGAGAGGTAAATAAAGAAAAGGGCCCGCTGGGGCTGTCGGTTGGTTAGTCTGTCACACAGTGTTTATTAGCGTCTGCCTGTGTCTGGAACTGTGCGAGGCAGAGATGAGCCGGGAGGCCGAGGAACCAGAAGGGGTCTCCCATTGCCCCATCATCCCAGGAGGCTGCCAGGGTGGCGATGGCGAGGCGGTGGGTAATGAAAACAGAGGGGATGGCCCAGCGCGGCCCAACCCAAGGAATCGCCTTAATCTTCCCTCCGCCCCAGGGCGTAGAGGGCTGTTATTAAACCCATTTTTCTGAAGCGGAAAC